ACCCTCACATCTGAAAAACCTAAGACACTGGAGGGTGTCAAGCTCGGAAAGTCGAGCAGATCAAGGGGTCACCATGATTGCAGTAATGTAGCTTCCCTGTGGGTTTAGGGTTTATAGGGCTTTAGGGTTTTAGGGTTTAGGGTTTAGGGGCCTTAATAACTAGAATAGGGTTTTGGGGCCCATCATACTATAATTATCATAGGGAACCCCCACAAAGTTGTATAGGTAGTTCTTAAGGCCCTTATAGTATTGTGGAGGGATACATCCGACAGATGTGGACGCATTGTCAGTCACGGGAATCGTAAATTTGTCGATCCCTGCTCTTAGTCTGATGCTGCCGGGGGCTTCTATAAAACATGAAGCTTGCGTTTTAACTTCAGTGTTTAGGTCAAGCCAGGTTTAAGGATTTAGGGTTTGCGATTTTAAGGTTTGGGGTTCAGAAGAGAAGTGTGCTTCTGGGGGCTTGCGAGTTGGCGGTGCAAGTCGTGTACGGAACCCTGAAGCCCGGAATCCTACACCCCCCAAGCCTAAACCCTGAACCAAACCCTCAACCCTAAACCCTAAGCCCCAAAACCCTAAATCCCTAAACCCTAAACCCCTAAACCCCTAAACCCTAAACCCCTAAACCCTAAACCAATCCTAAACCTAACAGGGGGCCTGATGTGGCAGCTTGGCCAGCTGCAGGGCCATGTCCCGCGCACGCTTGAGGAGTTCCGCATCCTCCTTTGGAGGGTTTAGGGTTAGGGTTTAAGGTTTCGGCTCTCACACTCGGACAATCCAGGCGAGGCGAATGATGAGTCAACGACAAAGTGAAACAACTGCACATGCAAGTTCAGCAACAAGACGAGCCCCTAAGATAGGGAACCTGTAAGAAACACCAAATCGCATGTGCAAACCAAAGTCCACATTGGTTTAAGGTTTAGGGTTTAGGGTTGAGGGTTGAGGGTTTAGGGTTTGCGCGTGGGTTGAAATCCTGAACTTAAAACCCTAACCTTCCAGGTACCTACTATATAGGGCCTTAGGGGCTCTAGTGCCCTATATAGTAGGTAACTGGTGGCTTAGGGAAACCCGAGACATTTTTCAGCACGGATGGAGATGCCGGCCAGCGTCTATGCATTATCCAACCCGAAACGTTAAACCATAACCCCTATATATATGTATATACCTCAAACCCCAAATCTGAAAGCCTCCTGACGTTGTGAACTCCAGAAACGAAGGCTTCGGTCGCAACTTCGCAGGTTCGGAGCTCCGGTCCCCGGTTTTGTTGATGGCACTTTTCCGACAGGGTTTAGGGTTTAGGGTTTCTGGTTCAGGGTTTCAGCACTCATGCTCGGACGTTTTTTTTGCCAAAAGCCCCTCAAGAAATCCCGAGCTTGAGGAACCGATGTTCAAAAAGAGATCCCGAACCTGGAAGCCGCAGACAAAATCCAAGTCCGGCAGGAGCAGAGAGTGTATTGAGTTCTGGATCTAAAAAGACCCGCTGGAATCGCTGTACCTGTTGCGGAAAAGACCGTACTAGACATCCTCGCTTGCACTGCTCTACACCGGCCCTGTGTAGACAAAACGCTGAGCGCAAACAGAATAATTGAACGGCAGCAGTACGAGAAGTCTACGCAACAAGACCTGGACATATATGCAACCTTCCAGTCGCAGCCGCTGACACCCAAAACCAAAGCTCTAAACAGATCCGGCCTCACACGCCAGAAACCACCAGCCCTACATAACTAGACCCTAAACCCTGTGTTGAAACCGGACTTGATGACTGCCCTAAACCCTAAACCCTAAACTCCAGCCCCTTTTGCACGCTCAAAAGCTGGGCCGAGCAGCATAGGTGGCCCAAATCAGGCCGCACTTTTCGGCCTCTACGGCCGGAAGCCTCCCAAGCTTATCGAAATCTCCGGGGCTTAGGGTTTGGGGGTATGTCTTAGGGTTTCAGGGTTTAGGGCTATTTTGCTAGGGTTTAGGGCTTAAAGTTATTTCCTAGGGTCCAGGGTTTAGGGTTTAGGGGTGTAGGGTTCAAGCTTAGGGTGATTTCAACCGTCCCCAAATCTCCTTGTAGCTAGGGTTCTGTATTTGCCAATGGCTATTGAGAATCAAAAGTCGTCCCAAATCGGTGACCATCTAGAGATTGGTTTTGGGATTTGGTGATTAGGACGAGTAGGGTAAGGTCTAGGGAGTCTAGGGTGGTAGGCTTGGACGGCTGTTGCTTGAGGTTTCGCATAGGTTCGCTGTTTTGAAGGGAGTTTGGGTTAACATAGGGCTTGGGCACTACGTCTGAGGGCCATTCCTACAGTTTACAGTGCACCGCAAACCATCAACCAAGTGTTTAGAACATATCAGCACCCTTTATCAAATGCTGCGCAAGCTGGTAACCGAGAATTTCACAGTGAAATCTGCGAGACGACGGATACACACCGGGCCTAAGGCGTGTTCGGAGGCTCGAGCACACGATTGGTTGGGGCTTTAAGTACCCTCGTCGGGGATATCCTACTTCTAATGCTAGGTACTTCTATAGCTTCTTAACTAGTTTAGCAAGTTTTTCAGCCACCAGATCCCGTAAACAAGTAGAACCTTGGCATTGGGTAATCCCGGAGTGCCTGTCGCCAAGAAGCGCCAGGGGCAACGCCTTGCCTCCCCAAGCTTCCATTGAACTCTCCCAAAAGGTCCAACTTAAGGGTTTAGGGTTAGGGTTTAGGGCTTTAGGGTTTAGGGTAAAAGGGTCCAAATTATAGCATAGTATCTACTTTCGGGGCCCAAATACCTACAAAGTAGCTACCATATTAATACGTGGACCCTCTGGGTCTCAACATCGACAGCAACGACCAAACGGATTAGTGACTATATTTGCCTGAGGGTTTCCGGCTTTAAGGCTCAAGTTTCAGGGAACCTGTCATCAGACACCCCCCAAAGTCACAGTAAGCCTCTAAGCCAGTGCGCCCCCAAAAAGCAGCAACTCCCTTGCTAACCCTAGTCTCGAAACCCTCAACCCCTTTCACCCCCCAAAGAGCCCCAAGCACGAGGTGCACAAAGACTACCAAAGATTTACTCTTCCACTCCCCCGAGAAGGTAAGTGTGTATGTATGTATGTATGTACGTACGTGCGTACGTGCGTACGTACGTACGAATGTATGTGTGTATATATCTCTCTCAATCTATCTATCCACCGACCTACCTATCTAACTATATCTCTCTATATTTATATATGCATACATTAATAATAGATAGATAAACAGATAGATAGATAGATAGATAGATGGATAGGTAAATCGATAGCTAAACAGATAGATAGATAGAAAGATAGATAGATTCAGATAGATGGGTAAATCGAGTGGTAAACAGATATATAGATGGATGGATAAATGGATAGATGGATGGATGGATAGATAGACAGATAGATAGACAGTGTTCGGAGATTCAAAGGAAAAGCATAGCCAAACAAATCAGGCTTAATTTCAAAATAGTTACTGACCTATACTCAGCTACCACGATATAGGAAATATCGCTCCCAAGATGCGATGTTTGAGATGAAACTTTGGAATGAAGAACCAGAGGAAGGCCATCAACAAAGCAAATGGATGGCTCGGGGATTAATGTAGGGGCCTTTATAAGTAGAAT